AAGATGTTTATTGTTTACCTTACTATCATTTTGGAAATAATCATTAGTGTATTACTTAGTTTTTTCTTCTTTTTAAGATTATTTCCAAATATTATTTCTTTTAGTTGGGTTTAACAATTAAAAAAAACGGCTCTTTGTAGAGATTCAGAAAACCGGAAAAATCAGTTATCCGGAATAGCGATGGTCCCGATCGTTCCGGATAATCGGTTCCCTACTATACCAATTTAATTCCCAGTATTAAAATTTAGAATAGATGACAAAATTATTACTCTTCCTCTCCATGATATTAATGAATGATCAACATTTGATACCTAACGAGTGAAATTCAGTGGATGTTTTTACATATTTCTCACTACATTTACAAGAGAAGAAAAACAAACTTGTCTGTGAAATGCATTTCACCTTAACATTTCAATGTTTTCAATACTACACACTCTTACTTATGTTATGCCTACACTTTTTATTCTTATCTCTATGGTAAGTTCATTGTTTTACACAAAATAAATATAGCAGGTAACTTTAAATTCAATGAGTTTCTTTCCGTTCATAAACAAGTCAAAAGTCATAAACAAGATTTTAATCCTTAATGATATAAAATATACCTTAAGCTAATGGGAATTAATATTCATTGGCTGAATATTAAGTTATATGTATTCATAGAGCTGCCGGGGAGATCCATATAATGATCTATGGCGGAATAATCGCCAAGTCTTGGCAACTACCGGGCAGCGGCCAACGAGAAACTTTAAAAAAAAAAACACAGAAAAGGACCAACTCGAAATTTGTAACTCGTAGCCACCCCCGAGGAAACATCCACATGTTTTTTTTTTTTTTTTAAAAAATTGAATGTTTAAAATCTATCTGGCACCTCGGCGATTGTAGTCTGCGCAACAGATAAGGATACGGAAATATCACCTAAGTGCCAATCCATATTTTCACTTAAATAATATAAAAATTAAACACGAAAGTTTCTTTTTTAATTTTTTTTAAATATTAAAAAATACCACAACAATTTGGTCAATTATATATATATATATTCATATTAATTTTCTGTCATCGTACTCAACATAATTTTAAAGCAAATATTTTACTACCACTTATGAAAACTTAATTTACATTGTTTATACTAGAGTATTAAAACTAAATGAAGGAAACGGTTAGTAAAGGTTTAAAAAATATCACAGATAATTGCAACTGTTTTGATTTCTTAAGTGCATTTATCATATTTAAGTTAATTTTAATAGTAAAAGAGGTTTATTTGTCACAGTGCTTTATATCTAAGGTGATCTTTAGAGACAATTTTACTATGTTTTAAACATAATTTTCTTGATATACATGAAACCTTATTAAAACTTCTAACAGCCTAGTATTTAAGTCTTCTGAATACAAATTATTAATATATCGGAATGATTATGTTCATCTCAAAAATACATGTAAACAACATACTTTCCCTTAATGTAAAATATTATCCACATGTATATTATAAAGTTGATATACCACAACTTGTAAACATTCATATAATCTTCATTTTTCCAACAATCAAGTAAAAAGCTAATGATAAATTCAATATTTCATTAAAACATAAATGGTAAGTGATATTTTTATTATAAGCACATTTAAAAGAACAAACGACTTTATTAAAATGTAAGCTAAAAGCTATTAATTACTAATTTGCTTCGCTTTAATCAGTTTCTAGATCCTGTGGATGCTTAAATTATATTTGCATCATTTTAATTTTGTCCATTACATTTTCTATTTACACTTATAAAAACTGCTTAATATCATACAGTGAATAATCACATTAAGTTTTAGTTGAAAGGAAATAGGGGAAAGAACAAATTAAACATCATTCCCTAAATTAATGTGAACGGATATATCCGAACCCATCTACATCAATTATCATTGCATAAACCTTGAACGAAAAAGTATATACCAAAATAATGTTATACAACCAGGTATATGGATATATTAGACTAATTTAATCAATATTCTACTTGAAAAACAACAGTGCATAATTAGATTCATACCTAACAGTAGTAATTTAAGTTCTCGGCGAGCATCTCGCTTGTCTTTCCGAAGTTGCCTTTCGATCTCTTGATTGATTCTTTTCTGTTCTTTTGCCTCTTCGCTAAGGCAACACGCCATGTTGGCCTACAACCCCCGAAGAACCCAGCTTTGAATGTATAACTTCAATAACTTGTTTCGTTATAAAATATTGTACAGCAGTGATATGCATGAATTTTTGATTACCGATTTGACATCTCAGGGTTCATTGTGAAACAAATACCAAGTGTGTCTGCACAATATATAACCAATCACAGATCTTGTCACACACGCATACTGTAACTACTCCATGCTGGGTGGGGTGTGGTAATGAGAAATCGGCTCACTCCTTGGATTGAATTAATCCCAATTATACTACAGGAAATCTGAAGCTTCATTCATTAGACAGGCTGAAATGATTTAAAGTTATTACAAGCTTCATTTTACTTGCTATGTGTATTAAAAGATAATCTTAAAATTGTTTTATTTGTTTTTAACGGTAAAAATTTCGGAAAGTTCGTACAAATAATCGATTTTCCAGTAATGACGAGATACGTTACTAAATTAGTGATTGTTTTGTATAATTAAAAATATGGTATAACTATCAGCCAAAAGACTTTCCCATTGTTTTTTTAAGCAAATTTGAGTTCATTAAGCAATATGAATTTAAAATAAATGGGATTTACAATTCTTTACAAAAATTGAAAATAAAATATACTAATAAAGCTGTAAGCTACAAAAGATAAAAAGAATAATGTTAATAAGGTTGGCTTCATCACTTTTTCTGTTTACGGGCTCAATATTAAAATTGAGACAAGAGACAAAAAAGAAATTTTAAAAACTTAAGAAATTGTATTTTCAGCATCAGAGAAGATATCGTGGTCTGTGGCGGAATAATCACCTAGTCTTGGCAACTTCTTGCCAGCGGCCCCCGAGAGAAACTAAATTTTTAAAAAAACATCACAGAAAGGGACCAACTCGTAGCTACCTCCGAGCAAACCTCTCAAAGTTTTCTTTTTTAATTTTCCCGTTTAGAATAAATTTGGCTAAGATAGTAGTTAGCGTGGCAGATCATGATACGTAAATACCCCCCCCCCTCTTTTCAGCACTGGAACTAGATTTTTCATTACTTTAAACTGGGCAAAACCATCTTACAGCATTAAAATGTAAACTTTTTTCACAAATAATATTTTGACGCTATATTTCGCTTTTATATTCAATTTTTATTATTTTTACTTATAAAGTGGAAGCTTTTAGAATCGCTAATAATTACAAATTTGTAGCCATTCCCAAATTTATTTAATGAGAATTTGAATGAAATAAATGTCACTAATACTCAAACACGATTGCAGGAGAATATGGGCTATCATTTTTTACAGTTTTTGAACTTATGTCATAAATAGTGAGAAAATAATTTTCTGATTGTTAATTTTATTTGATGGTTAGCTTTATTCTTATACGCTTGAACTCAATACATTAAAAATCATTTTGATCTATTAACGTGATTATCATTAAACTAACCACCTCTGAAACGTAAATGAGCTTAGCACTCCTTGAAACTAAATTAGAATTGGCAGTTATCAACTATAAATTTTAGAAAAATAAAAATTAATGATGTCCAACGGAGTTGAACATTGGTAGTATAAACTCAAATTAGGGTCAACTGTTCAACAACAGTAATGGAATAAAATATTAAAATCAATTTTAAAAATTTCTGAAACAATAGTTATCTAAGAAAAGAAAAATCAGATTTTCTCCCTTTTAATCGTTTCCCAAACTTGCTAATTTATTAAAATTGATCTTTTTTATTTATAAATTATGTTCCAACTATTTAGAATCTGCTCCCAAAAGTATCAGCTTTAATTAATAATAAAAAACGTTATTGACTTATGAAAACTGAATAAAGTTTCTTTTGTTACTTTAACAGACTTACATAGGTGTATTAAAATAGTGTTCAATTAAAAACCTTTGATGATTACTAGTAAATCATATATTATATGATTTTTCATATATTATATGATGTAGAATTTGTTAGTTGCTTTGAAAATTATTTTTAAGTTTTTAGTATAAGTGAAGTCAGAATAATTTTTTTTTTTTCCTAGCAGTTCCCTTAGAAATTTCTTTTGTAGTGTTAGACATTTATCAGTTTAGAGTGCAAGTATTTCTGCATAATGTTTTTTTGAAACCTTTTTTTTTCTTCAAAGAACTGATATAATTTTGTGAAATAAAAATGCAGTTTCTACAGTAGAAAAGAATATCAAGTAGAGGATAAAAAATATGGGTTGTTTGAAGCAAGGATACTTAAATTTATCTTTTTTTTATCACATAACATCTAATTGCATAATTCATTCAGCATCAACCTTTTTTTACTTTCAAGTCAAATTTAACTTCTGTTAGACTTATACAAAATAAATAACATTATTAACTAAACTATTTTTACTTGGAGTGGAAAAAAATCAAAATAACATTATCCAGTTGTCTCACTTTTTAAGTCATTTACACATTTTATGTTAATATAGAACTATTCACATAGATTAATTTACTTTTACACGGAATATTTTATTCTTGTAATGTACCCAATTTTTACTTTCTCTTTCATTTTTGAATTCACCAGCATAATAATACAAGGTTTAGTGCAACTGCATAGTAATAAATAAATAAATAGATTTTTTTTTTATGTCTGAAAGTGAATTATTTCTTGCATGCACCCACTACAAATGTTTATTCTTGAAACAATTCTGTTTTAAAATATTTAAATTCTCAAGCTTTAATATTTTATCATTTGATTTTTTTGTGTGGTTAAATATATTATTTCCTATATTTCTTTCCTAGTTGCCCTTTCATATAAAAACATTTAATTTTCTCTTTAATCTTAGGCCAGCAATTTGATACAATTAATCAATTGTCTGAAAGCTTGATAATTTAAATGTGTTTTTCTTTTACTATATACTATTCTCTAAGTACTTAGAATATCTCTTAATTAAAATACGGGTCATTTTAAATAAGAACACTTAATTAGATTTAAATTATTGATCCCTAAATGCATCTGGCTCTCCTTTTAAATTCTAGCTTCAATTCCATTTGTATTATTAATGCATTTCATTTTATTTTTTTTTACTTTAAATCTTAAAAACATAACACTTTATTTATAAGAGAACACTAGAATGTTTAAGGGAAATTTCTCCTAGATCAAGTCCTTTGTTTTGCAGCAACCAAGACTTTTACCAAACTCTTCTCTGAACCAGCAAAGGCAGGAAATTTGATAACATTTTCTCTAAGCAGTCTATTTTTTGACATTTCTTCTAAACATTGCTGAATACTCCCTTGTGAGTGCTTTGCACTGTTGCATCAATGATCTCTTTTAAAATGTTCCAACTGGTGCGGAAATGATAATAGAAACTTCAAAATCTTTTTGATCGGCTCCAATTTCTAAAGTAATCTGTAACACAAAAATTTGCAAAGCATTCTTCTGAAAATATGGAGAATGTTTACCAAGCAAAAATTAAGAATCTTAAAACCCTTCACTGTCAAATTGAAATTCTGAGGGGAGCTTCCACTAAACTAGGGATAATTACTCATGTAACATTAGATTTTACTAATAGGAAACAAAATCAGCTGCCTTTAAATTTCAACAAAGATTTGCATAATCTTCATCATCATTTCAAAAGAGTAAAAATATTGAAAGTCCTACTAATAGAAAAATTCCTTATGGATGCAGTATAACATAGCAATACTTCTTAATAACAAGTTCAATTTAAAAGTAAAATGAAAAAAAAATTTTGTGCACTCAAAATTATTTTTGCTTAGGATGCAAATTTGTGAACAATATTTTAGTGACTTGATTTTAAAATCAGCTTAAAATAAACATTTTTTAAAAAAATATTCATTAAAAAATTATAGACACAAAAAAAAATTTTTTTTAAACCATTCATATAAAAATTTTCAAAGCATTTTGTTATGAGATTGCTAGCATTTTTTTTTTATTGATTTCACACTTTAATAATTTTTATTAACTATTTTGGTGTAATAATAAGCAATTAGCAAAGTTACATTAGTATGAAGAAAAAAACTTTAATAAGAAACTCAGATTCCACTCTCTCTCTCTCTCTTTTTTTTTTTTTTTTNTTTTTTTTTTTTTTTTTTTTTTTTTTTTTTTTTTTTTTTTTTTTTTTTTTATAAATAACATGAATTATTCACATCAATGTATCATTAAATACTTGATGATTTAATAAGAAAAAAATTCATTAAAAATGATAAGCTTAAGTCACGTTAAAGAATTTTTGGAGAGTTACTGTTACTTTTAATAATGATTTTGTTTACATGTGATATGTTCATGTTATTTTTCAAAGCAAGGAATAATCATGGTCTTATCATAGATAAAAAAATATATACACAAAATCAAAAGAAAGAATTCAAGGACATGTTTAAAAATACAATTAAAATTTCAAAGACTAGTGGCGAGCTTTCCAATCATATCTGATTTTTATGAAGAAAAAAAATCTACTCATTACTTAAAAAATACATAATTAATCTTACCATTGATTAAATAATTAATTGCAAAGTGGTTAAAAAATGCTTGTAATTTAGAACAACTTATTACAAGTAAACTGAACATAACTGCAATCATTATATAGTAATTTATTAAAATGAAGCATGCAGAAGTATAGCATCAATCAGAAAATACTAAATTTTTTTTATATAAGTAACATAAAAATGAAGGTATTAACACAAGTATAACACATTTGAACTGACATTATCAACAATAGAATATCATTTATTTACAATGAATTAGTTTTCTACTTTGATAATACTTTTGAAATCCATCAGTCAATAAGAGGAAGTTTGGGGTGACAGAACATTTCCAGAGCTATATGACTTACTATACTAATGATAGTAAATCTGTGATTTGCTAATCAGGGCTTGAAAAACGTGCCCAAACATATAAATGCCCAACACTCTTTCGTATGCATATTAATGAACACATATAACTGTATCTAAATTAATGCAACTATTCAATTAAAGAAACTTATTACTGCATAACCCTCTTTATTTAACAGAAAAACAAAACACAAGAAAAGGAATATGAATATTAAGAATTAAATACTTTTGAACAAACTTCACATTTTAAAAAAAATCACATGCTCTGACGTTATCCAATTTTTGAAAAATTTGAAGCAGATGTTAAATCAGGGATATAGTATTAAATTTCCTTTTTTATATTTATTTTTGTTTACGCAGCAATAGGGTTAAAACTTTTTTAAACAGAAACAAACACAAATAAGTGAATAAAAAAAAGACTAGCTAACTTCATTTTATATATTTTCATTTGTAGTCGAAATTAGAAGTATCTCTTGATCAGAATTTATTGTATTTTTTATTAAATATTTTCATTCCAGGCTTGATCAGAATTTTAAAGTACATGCATTGCTGGGCATTATAATTTTTGAATCTTTGTTGCTAATGTCACCTCAATAATCTGACAAAACATTTTCAAATAAAAACATAAGTTTGATATAAAAATGAGAAAGCCCTAGACTAGAGACTTATTTTGAACAATAACAAAGACAGGGTTGTTAGAACTAAAAAGACTATTGCAAAAAGTTGTCTAAAAATATAAACTTGACCAAAAATAAATATTACTATGTAGTATCTTTGAATGCAAAATGTGATAATTTGGTAATGTATTAATGCACCTCTCAGAGCACTCAAAATGCAGAAAATGAAAAGAATAAAATAGTTTTGTTTTTGGCTTAGCTTTAGAATTATAATACAATCTTGTCTCGTGAAATATTTAAATCAGGTTTTGGGATCTCAATGGCCTATCTAAATAAATAGCAGAAATAAAATCATTTCTAATAAAAAAAGAATGTGCATTAACTTTTTTTTTATAAAATTTCAGAAAAACCTACACCTAATAATTTTTGCCAAAATCCAGTAATTATATCATAAGTTTAAAAAAAAAATTTATGATAATTTTAAAATTAAAAACTTTAATGATAACCAGAATGCAAGGCATTGGTTAAAAATATATATAAAATAAAGTATAGTAATTAGTAAAAACTGCCAGAAAGAGTATGCATAGAAACGAGTATAACAAAGTTTAAACTGTAATGAACAAAAAAGTTTATGTAAATGTATTTTATGAATGATTATTGTTGCAAATGATGCTAATTATGAGCTTTGGGAAAACCATATTTCATATAATAGTTAATATTAATAATTAACTATGTTTTAAATGCCAAATGAATAGATACAAAATTCAAACCCCCTTAAGATCCAAGTTCTGGTTGTGATCCAGACCTTTAAAGCAATTAAACCAAACTTTTAAGAATGAACAATTTATAATTATAACATTTGTCACTGATGAGAAGAAATCTGTCATTGTTTACATTATACCAATCTCACATAAATTCCTTTTAAAGACAAAATCTTTTGTGGCTGCGAAAACACACCTAATATTCTTTTCATCTGAAAAGTGAAAAAAATTGTAGTCACTAAATATTGTTAAAAATTTAAAAAACAAGAAATTAGCAATTTGTTTGCATCACACACAGAATATGTTTGCTACAAAAGTACTATTAGAAATTCTAAAAGTAAAGTATGGAAAAATATGGAAAGGTAAGTCTAAAAATAAAGAGTAAACATGTAGATTTCAACATTTGGGCAAAAGAATTACAGTTGAAAATGAATTACAGTTCATAGCAAATTTGAAACTTGTTTTTAGAAATCCATATATTAAATATTAAGTTTCATTTTTTTTAATATGGGCTTAGTACAGCCAAAGAAATAAAAATTTACATTTGCTTTAATTTTTAAACAGGCTGGTTTTATTTTTAAAAATAAATGTTCAGTAAGGAAACTACAGGAAATGTAAGTTTTGTTTCGTTTGAGAATACTATTTTCTAAAGCTAAAGTATTAAATTACCTGTAGCACAAGTAAAGTGTGAATAAATTGACTTTTCACTATCTGGATTTAAATCAACAAACATTTTTAATATAAATTCTCTAGCACGAGTAGCATCCTTCTTTGGGCCTGAAAATAAAATAAAATAATAGTAATAAATAAATAAAGTAAGAATAAAAATAAATATATCATATAAATACATTATTAAATATAATTCTTCAAAAGTATAAATCTAATTCATGTTCAACATTTATTCTTCAAATTTATATTTCATACATATATATTTTAAATAGATAAATGCATAGTTTATTACATTGTCAAAATATTTGAAACATTTTTAATTTTCAGTTACATTTGTTATGAGAATATAAAAAAATTGGTTTCAACAGAATATTATTATAAAATAAAAATAAAATAATTTTCCGTAAGAAAAATGATAAGACATACACTATATTTTCACTAACAAGGGAAACTAGGGAAGTGTGACTCGGCAATTTTGAAATAAACTAGTGGGATGTATGCCTAATGAGGAATAATTTTAAGGGGCAACATTCGTTTCGGCCCATAAAAGGTCCTGTGAGAGATAAAAAATAATTCAATATGTAGAAAAATCGGTATTTTATTACTTCAATGTAGACTATTAGTTATTGAAATTGTCTCATATTTCAATTAAATTGTAATTAATTGGTTAAGTAATTAGAAAATTAATAAATTAATTAGCAAATTAATTAATTGATTGCAATTACATACTCATACATAAATTTTACATAAATTTTTGAAGAAAAAAATGTAAAAAATTTAATGTCAAATTTTTTTTTAAAATTAGCCTAACAAATTAACCTTCTGTTTTTCTGAAAAACTACAGATATATAAAATTTTCGAAATAATTTTGACAATAAATATGCTTTATACAGTACGCGAAAGTACCACAAAATTAATTGGAGTATGAGACAATTACAATAACTGATAGTCTGCATTGAAGTAATAAAATACCGGTTTTTCTATATGTATTGAATTGTTTTTTATCTCTCACAGGACCTCTTATGGGCCGAAACGAATGTTGCCCCCTAAAATTATTCCTCATAATCCATACATCCCACTAGTTTATTTCGAAATTGGCGAGTCACACTTCCCTAGTTTCCCTTGTAAGAAGCATTAATCAGTCTAGTTTAAAAATTTGCTATATCCAGAACCCTTCATCATATAAAAATATCTTCCCACAATAAAAATTTATTCATATTTGTACTTTAACATATCAGAAAATGCATCAAAAATAAAAACCAGGTTTGAAAAAATTCTAAACAACATATAGCATAGAGCCAAATTACTATTTCGACAAGATAAGAAGCAAAGAAAACAAGGAAAGAAATAAGAAAAATTTAAAATTAACCAAAATTGGAAAAAAATAATGAAAAGATATAATTATGTCATCAGCTCACATGATTATATGTGCAAAAAAAGTGCTTTCTAATACTGTGTTACTACATATTGAAATTTGAAAATTATGTGGATTTTTTTTTTTTAAATAACATTTAAATATTTAGTTTTTAATAAGTCTTATTTTTATTTGATCCACCTTTATATTAGTCCAGATTAATCTTACATTAAAATGAATCATTAAAAGTCACATTTTGCTCACCATTATATTCTGGAAAATAATCTACTAAGTGAGAATATAAAATTTTTTCTTCTAGCAGATCTTTTTTGTTTAGAAATAAAATAACAGATGAGTTTCGAAACCACTGATATGCAATTACTGTTTTAAACAATGCTTTACTTTCTTCCATCCGATTCTAAAAAATAAAGAAAAAAATCAAAACAGATATAACATTAGTATTTATAAGATTTTTAATAATTTTTTTTAAAAAAAACATTCAAAAAAATAGATAACTGCTAAAATATGTTTGACATAACAAATTATTTATAAAATTTTTGATGATTTAAAGATTAAAAAATAAAGAACAGCTATAAGTATATTAATAATTTCAAAAGTATAACATTTCTATTCAGATTTTGCTTCTCTTATGTGAAATATCAATATAATGATTAACTTCTACTTGAAATTATATTAATCAAACGAATAAAAAAAAATGCTTAGTAATAGCAATCACTAGAAGGTTTAGACAAGGACAATGATGAACTCACTGAGATTGAAATGCTTGCTAAGTAAAAACAGTAATATTAGGGAGGCAAGCAGTAGCCAAAATTAAACGCTAAACCAAAACCCTATCTTACCAAAAAAATAAATCAACTTGTCTGGTTCTATAGCGACCGGCTCCAACAAGTCCTAGAGGTGGAAGCTCATCTCGTGACTGCTAGACAAGTCTTTCAAAATAGTTTAAGACTTCAAGCAAATTTTTAAAATTAAATTAATTAGAAAAGCAAAAATTGCAATTATTTAAAAAAAGGGGGGTAAAGAAAACACATAATTTTCAAGCATACAATTTATTACAATCGTGTAAAATAAGATTATCAACAATGACTGTAATGATGAATGTTATGAAAATAATGCTTCATTACAATTTTAATAGTTAGATATTTTTCTTTTTAGTCCCATGACTTCTAAAATATGCTTTCCAAACGATTATGTAAGTTTTTCTCTAATGAAAATAGGTGAAGTCTGCAAGCTTTAAACTTAAGTAACTCTTAACTTAACTCTAAACTTAAGTAAATTTTTTCTTAAATATTTACCTTTACCACTTTTAATTCTGGAATTTTTACTATGCCAACTTATCCAATAAAGTTTTAAATTATTAAGAAGAATTATACATACATGGTACAAAACTATAATATTTTATCATTTAAGGGAATTGATCATCTTTAAACAGTAAAATTGTTTTACAGATGTAACAAAAATAAGTTTGTCTTAGTACAAATTTTATTAGTATTTAATTTTTTAACTGATACCTTTTAATGCAAAATTAGGAGCTCTTTTGAAATCTATATGCTTATAATATTTTTAAATAAACAACCTATTCTCACTCAAATGCATAAATTATAATCTATATTTGTCAGGCTCAACTTATTTTTTAGGCCATAAAATTTTTTTAATTCCCAATTCTTTTCAGATAAAAGGGATAACCTCATTCATCCAAATATGTTTTCTCATTGACCTTTGACTTCTAAAAATATGTGGGCTAAAAAAAAAAAATTTTTTTTTAGTTTTTTAGTTAACTTTTCATAAATTTAAAAAAAAAAATACAAATTTAAACAATGTATCATTTATACTAGTAATCAAAAGTTTGTATAATTTTACATATTTCTTTATGAATTAGGTTAACGTTTGGATGCCAGGATAGGTCAAAAGTTATTTAGGAAGTAATGTTTTTTTATTTTCACATTGTACACTTTAAGACTTTGAAACCTGGATATAAAGATGTAATAAATGTACTTTCAAATTCTTTGAAAAAGAATTTTCACTTTTATATTTTAACATGAATCAAGAGCTATCATTTATCTGAGTCAATATTCAGAGAAATCTGCTCTTACATCTCGCCAGCCTAATCCAGATGCAAGTCGCTCGCAAATCACAAAAAAAAATCACATGTAATCACACAAAAAAAAAAAAAATCACATCAACTGTAGACTGTCTACCACTAATCTAAGTCAACCTTATAATTGAGAGCTGAAAATTATGAAGTATACTGAACAATATATTTTCATTAGCAAAGATGAGAAAATAATTACTTCATTATAATCTGATTCAAACAATACTTGGTCATATTCGCTTATAGCAACTAGAAAAATCAAGGATGTCACATCTTCAAAACAATGAATCCATTTTCTTCTTTCCGATCTTTGTCCACCAACATCAACCATTCTAAAGAAAAATACAAATAACAAGAAAGTTTACAGCCTATATATTAATTTTATCACTGAGCTCTTCGACCAAAGATCATTAATTTTTTAGAAATAGGAAAGAAAAAAAATGTCGAATCAATTTTTACCTAAATATAACAGAATCTAAATTAAATGTATATTCTACAACACCTGTAGTCGGTACTCTCACCCTCAGAATATCTTGTAAAGTAGGAACATAATTTGGTCGTGCCAATCTGTCAACATCATTCAGATAACTAAAAATACAATAAGTAACAAATTAATTATATTTTGACTTATAAATATTTAAAAGCCATTTGAAATATGTCAAAATAAATATGCTGTCATTTTAGTGATGACAGACTTATTAAAGAAAAATTTTATTTCTTCTGTAGATGTTTGCCACCATTTATTTGAATAGCATAAATACTTAATCAGAACATCAGAAATTTTTCGGGGTTAAATATTTCTGCAGAACACCACTTATTTCAGTTTAAATTTCCCACAAACTGTTGCATACTTTCAGTTAAAGACAACTACTAAAAGTTTATGTTAACAAATAAAAGAGCTACTTTCAAGTAAAAGTTGGTTGAAGAGATATAATAAATAGGAAGATCAAATAATAAAGCTTAATCAAGATTTATACAGGTTTCATAGTTAAAAAAATAATTAGTAGTAATCCCTCACATCAATATATATTAATTAAAATTTGTAATCCAGTTCAAGATTTCTTTAATCAAATAATTTTAAAATAGGGTTGCAATAAGTTTGAAACAAAAACACAATGAATATACTGCATAACATGTTAGTACAAAAGTAAATTTAGTGGGTGATACCTCAATTCATCATTAAATTTTATGATACTTCTGTACTGTTGATTGGAATAGATCCTTCCTAAAATCCCATGAAAGAGAGGAATTAATAATTTAATTAATTAAAGAAAGGAAATCACAAAATTAATCCCAACAAAATTTTTTACTGTGTTTGCAGAAAATAATTAAGTATATCATCCTTGAAACCATCATAAAAATTAGAAAATGTAAAATTATTAATTGAGTTTCCTTTTCATAGAATGACTTAGTTCCTTAAGAGGTTGAAATAATTAATCATGTGGGTAAGACTAAATGTCTAAGCCATGTATATAAATAGCAGATGGTCCCTAAATTGGAAAAATCAAATTTTGTAATTTCTACTAGCATTATTTTTTACTAGAATCAGATAAAAAATTCAAGTCTTTTGATTCTTCAAACCTATTTTTTAAAAATCTGCATTTAGTATTCAGGATTTTCTGAACACTCACAAAAATCGGGATTATCAGAATAAAAAACTAAAAATCAGGATAAATAAAAACAATATATATTTTATTAGGAAAATCAAGATAGCTATGAAACCTGTAGTGATAAAGTAAATATCTAAATATTTAATAAAATATAATGATACAAATTATTAACTGCCTATATAAAAATGCATCAAGATATATATCTTAAAAGTATTTGCAATAACATCAAAATTATTTTACAATCATTAGAAAATTTCATCAAATAAAATAAATTTAATATTAAAGATAAATTTTATCACACAAAATAAATTTCATATCAAATCAATGTAATGATTATATTCTTTATACTTGTATTGCACAAAATTATATAACTCATTTATTCAGAGATAATTGTGTGCAAAAATATTTTTTATAGCTAGTTATTTTGCATTGCTTAGTATTGAATGATTGAAATATTCTTAACGGACCAGGTACGCAAATTTTTTATTAAACTATGCAATTTCAAATAACAACAATTAAATTTTAAACAGAACTAGTCAAACAGTTTATGACAATTGTAAGCTTAAAAGACGAAACTTTTGTAGAACATTTGGGGACAATTTTCGCCATACTGGCGTGAACCCTACAGCTTTTAGCGAATATTTTTGTATTTGATAGGGCTAATCAAAATTTAGTAATCTGAGATTTTCAAAAAATCTAAATTAAGAACATCTATATATATTTTTCTCTTACACGGCGACAAAAAAAAAGCCTCACTACAACTCCCCGAATGGCAACGCTAGAAAATCGACCAATGATTGCCGCTAAAAATTTCACATGCTAAATCTAGCTGAGGTGGCTCAACATATAGCGCTTTTAAAAACGGAAAGTGAAATAACCAGGGAGAGCATAAGCTAGGCAGAAGTGTCTTTGTCGATAGATCTCTATTTTAGTATTTTGTCGAAAGCGCTTTTTTTAACGAATTTATATGTTACGAATTTATTTGACGATTTTTTATTTATATCACGAATTTATTTATTTTACTAGAATTTATTTGTTTATGCAGGTTTTTACATTGCAATTCACTTATTTCAATTTTTAATAGACTTAATTATAGCCAAAATTTTAACCTTTTTAAAGAGATATCAGTTTTAGAAATTTTATCTTAAGATTTTATACTATAGCACATTTCTAATAGGTTTAATGAATTCCATGTCATTTATTTGAATTCAAATTTATTTTAATGACCTAGTATTTACTAAAAAGATGTAATTTTTTTTTTTTTAAAAGTTGTAATATGGATTTGAATGATTGTTTTGAATTCTTAGAAATTTGTGCATATGCAATGTACTGAAGTTAGCAGCGAGCGAAGCGAGCTTGGTTTGCGAAGCAAAACATATAAGATTGCGTAGCAATTTTCGGGGGTGGCGAGCGTTAGCGAGCAGGCGGCGCAGTCCACTAGTTTAAGAAATTTAACAACATAATAATTTTAGCAAAACAAAAGTGTTTGTACTATTTAGCTGAATCTGTAAGCTGATACTCTCTACGTCGATCATAGCATTTTTGAATACCAGAATCTGCCCACAATGATTTAATTGCTACAACAAACTGGTGATCAAGCGCAGTAACAGTTTGACAATTCACTAATCTGACAAGTTCAGCATGGGCCTGGAAAAAAAATTTTAAATTTTATTGCATATTATTGTAATTTTAAAAATTATTCATAAAAATCTTATTGTTATGCAAAAGGTTTTAAGAAAAAATTAAGTCTTGTATAATTATTAACACAGTGGAGTCAGAATAATCTGAGTTTTGCATAATCTGAAATATTTTGATTTTTATATTGTAGAAAATATATAATTAAAAAATGAATAAAAAAAATCCTGAAAAATTAAGCTTTAACACATTTAAACACTTCATCATCAAAAATTGTAATTTACATTATTTTCATTTTAAAGATTATGTAACAATAGTAGTTTTTAGACTACTAATTTAATGAAAAGTTATGTAATTTAAGTTTTCAGTAGTATTTGTTTGGTCTAGTCTAAACTGATTCACATTACTAAAGCTCCACTATAGAATACTCTTATAATCTTCTCTGACACTTCACTTTCACAACAAAATAAATTAACCAAAAATACTTTATATTTTTCTCTCCTGACTAAACTAAAAGGACCTTACTTTCCAGCAAAGTTTGTTGATTTAAATAAATCTGCTTGATATGAATCCCAATTTAAATCAACTGATTTTATAAAAATAAAATCATTAAGTTAAAACAATTTTTTTTTAAAGAAATCGCCAATCCAGAAATTTACAAAGTATTATGAGATAATTTAAATTTTTTATTGATTTTCAGATTTTTAAAAATTATAATAAACATAATTATAAACTAATTTTAAAGCCACACTTAATTTTAATGTATTACAAAAATATTTATGAAAATTAATGTACCCATAGTGAGTATTAAAAGAAAATTATCATAATATAGCATAAAAAACTGGTTAAAGATTCTTTTTCAGATTCTTTTTTTCTGATGGAATATTTATTTTGAAAATTATACTACTACAGAAATACTTGCGAACTTGCAGCTAAGGTAAGGTATAAGGTAGCACAATTTAATTTCTCACTTAGAAAAAAAAATAATTCACACTTAATTTTCTAATTTGTTCTTTAGCCTTGTTTTTTAGAAGTTAATAATAATACATTTCTATTTCCCATTTTTTATAAATTTAAATCATGCATTATGATTTACCATAATACAATTTTTTAAGCAGAAATATAGTTTCAAAAGTATTGGTACAATTTAATTTAAAAAATATTCCCATTCTTATTATATTTATAAAATTTAACTAATTAAGGATTAATTTTTTAAAACAAAAAAAACAATGAAAAATTCATTCCAGATTGTAGTTATCCCTTATGTTCTGGAGGATGGGATATGAATTCATTAAATAAAAAATGTTAAAAAAATTTGTATTCAAAAGAAGCATCTTTTGTGTCTGATCTTATAACTTAAAATATAATTTGAATTAATTAATCAGTCTTACTTAGTTTACTTTTTAAATGTATGGAAATCTAATAATTAGATCAGCATTTATTTTGAATTTTTATTTTTCAGCAATTAACAATTATCTTGAGGTAATAAATATACATCAATGTAATTAGTTATTATATAATTTAATACAATTATTTTTCAATCATCAACAATTTAAGAGTAAAAAAAATTAGAATAACTACTTTCCAAGTTTAATTTTCCACTATTTCCTGATATAAAAGTAAAGTCTTTTAAAACAAACATGAAACATACAAAACACAGGTTAATATAAATGCACCAAAAACAGTTGGCAATGAAAAAATTCGGCAAATAGTCACGAAGTGAAAACAAATCAATTCACATATTATATGAAAAACAATGTGAAACTCTATAAGTTAAAGCAATTTTAATGTTACAGTGACTTGAAACGAATTAAAGTTATTGATCTCATGTCCCATTATGCCAACTCTTGCATAATTTTTTTTATGTGTTTATTGGTCTCTATCATTACAATTTTGGACACTTTTCGCTAAAATAAATACAATTCTTGACTACCATTTTCAGAGAAATTTATAACTCAGATGAAACAGTGCTTTGAATCATGTTAAAAATTCAGATGCTAACTGTAATATGTTAAAATTTTATCTTAAAATAACTTTCCAAACCCAAGTAAAAAAAAAAAAATTTCTAAATTAGCAATTTTAGTATGAAACAACTGCCTTGCCATGCTCAGATAGCTAAAATTTAAAAACTCTACAGAAAAACAATTTTATAAATTAGCATAATAATTAAATTAATAAAAAGTACCAGATTTTTCTTATCTTTGTAGGGTATTTTAAGCATAACCATTGCTTTAATTAAACTTTGCATGGCTCTAAAAACATCTTGACATACAGGTATAATAAAATCCTTTTTGTCTTGATCTGAATAACCTAATCCATGAATTATTCTCATTTGTTTGATGAATGTACTTTTACCAGACTCTCCTGGACCTGAAAAAGTTTAAATAAATTACAATTAAAAAGCTATATTTAATAACACTGAAAATGAATACATAAAAAAAATTCAGTTCAAAAATAAGTTGAGTATACACAAAAAAAAAATTATTAAGACATAAAATTTATAAAAGTTTTCTGTAACACCTTATAATTTCATTACTTTTACAAAAAATTCCAAAATTATAAAATCATTTCATGAAGCTAAATTTAAAATCTTAGAAGCATTGCTTGCCCTTGTTTGAAGGTTCTTGCCCGGTTGGCATAAATGCCTCTAATTTTGAAACTGAAATTGAGCCAATTAGACAATCTGTTCTTCATCTTTCCAGTTGTACCACTTCCCTCAATCACGCTGTGTTTCTCATTGACTCACAAGCTGCAATCTTTTCTCTTCACTCAGTTTGAAATATCGACTCAACAGTACTTTGGGATTATCCTGTCAACCTGCCAACGCTCGCCAAATCCTTCGGAGCTAGTTTTTGCAAAATAAGCATTTTAAACACAATAAATTTATGAAATCACAATGATAAACAAATAAATAATTACTAATAACCTTACATGTAATATTATATAAATCATTTCGGTGGCCAAAAGTCCTTGATAGCTTTTAAAGAGCAAACAAACAAGTAGTCATTATCCTCGTGCAATCGACGGGAAAATCCCAAAGTGCTTCATTCCTCTTTGGGATTATCCTGTCGACCTGCCAACTCTCGCCAAATCCTTTGGCACTAATGTTTAGGTTTGGCGATATCAGCTTCGGCGAAAATGGTCGACTGGATAATCCCAAAGTACCAACTCAACTTATGTATAAGAGACTAGAATGGAGATTGACAATCTTATCAATAATGGCTGGGTGAGTCTATTCCAGTCATTGCAACATTCCTGAAAATAAGAGAGCCGATCCCTTGGCCAAAAACCAGCTTTAGTCTTCCTCAACCCACTTTTACTCTCCACTGCAGCCAGATCTTCTCCACCATTGTGAGAGCTACAGACAAATATATAAGGAATGGGCAAAATGTGGATTATACGGGAAAGATTAGGTCTAGCCTCTCTGTAATCCTTTACCCATGGATAGGACTGAGCTATAAATCGATGTATCGAGATATATTGATTTAAAGCATATATCGGCAAGACGATACAGTGACTTTCATTCAAGGCGATGCATCAGAAATCTGATTTAAGCCGTCGAGTAAAGACAACGAGCGCAAAACGATATAGCGATATAAGACACGCAAGGATATAAGAAAACGATATAAGACTCTTCTCTTACGTTCCGATGTCGACTCACGCTGTGAAAGACGATGCTCGTTTCGTTATGTTGAAATGGCCTTGATTGGTGAGCTGTAGAATCAGAATCAGAGTTTTGAGAACACATATCGTTATATGGCATGTTCCTTTTCGCACCGCTTAGCTTTTTTTTCTTTGTCGCGACTTTTCTTGTAGATTATTTTCAGTGGGACTAACTTCGTGATCGCCGATGTTACCTTGTTCTGAAGGCAATCTATTATTAAAAAGAATATATAAAGAAGAGTTTCTTCATTAATTAGATAAGTTTTCTTTTTTTTTTTAAAAAAAAACTTTTTTTATTTTTAAATGTAAAAACTATCGGCAATCTAATTTAGGCGCCCATAAAGAATTGAATTTGTTAGGTTTTTTTTTTTTTACTTTCTTTTAATTTATTAAAAACTTTTTGGATGAAACTTCTAATAATTTAATGAGTTTTTATTACTGATTTTAAATTTATAAATCTTGTTGTTTTTACTTTTAGAAATAAAGTTAAAACAAAATTTATTTTTGTCAATTGGATTTGGACATAAGTCAATCAACTTTGTTTATACAAAAAAATTTGAAAGGTTTGCGTATTTTATTCATTTTTTTAAATCATTTAGCACTTCGTTGTTTCTGTTTAGATAGCGAATTCTT